AGACTGCATTTTAAGTCAGTTTGTCTCTCATCTTTGCAGGATCTGAATGAATGCTCAACAAAATAACGGCATAACTGAAAGGGCGCATATCAGAGTGTCATATTAAACTATCCCGATGGTGCCAAGCTGTTGTCCACTGCTGATTTGATTTGATTGAGACACAACATTACACAGTCGCTCCAAGCTATTTGACATAACAGACATTTACATATATTCCACAAGACAAAATCGTCTGAAATATCCAAAATATCCCATTTAAAGGTTTAGATGGTCCTCTTTAATAGGGGTATATGAACTTATGATCAGAACTGTATTTTTTATTTAATCTAATGTGAACTGATGATATTAAACATTTCATAGGATTTTATTCAATTATATTTCTTATGGAATCTAAAGAAGTATATTACTTTATTTTCATGATAATGGCTTCTGGATGACTATATTTTTGCACAGTTGTGTTGTGAGTTTTACACTTTTTTTTTTTTTTTGGTTGCAAAATGCCTGTGGATAAATATTAATTTATGGACCTAGAAATTACACTCTAAAGAACTATTATATAGCACTGTATATACAGTGGAGTCCAAAAGAGGTCACACACAAAAAATATCTGGATTTAAAAATTGTAAATGGTAAATAAACAATATTTTAGGATTTTACAAAAATATATATTTTTTTTTTAATGAATACGAAATAGTTAAGATTTAGAATATGATCATCAGGTTTAACACAAACTTGTTATTGCAGCTCAAGTTACGCTGTCATTAAAAAAAATCTATTCAACTTTTATTCTTTCTAAATAATTACAATAAAGAAATAATAAAGAAAAGGACCTTAGACCTTTAGACTCCACTATATGTAAGACTTACAAATGCATACATCCGACTGTGTATCTGAGTTTGTTATCTAAGCAAAATGAGGAGGAAACAACACAATAGCTCCATAAAGAGATATGTACAGAAAGCACGTCAGAGAAAATATTCACTGCAGGCCATTTTAACCCTTATAGGTGTTCTAACCAGACAGGAAATGTGTTACTTCCAGTGGTTCTCAACTGTTTGAATGAGGTGGTGATGAAGGCCATGTGCCGATCTGCAGGATTTGGGCTGAGGGACGTTAACCTCTATATTTGACCACAAGGAGGCAGAAGAATGCTGGACAGTCAGGACCTTAGACCTTTAGACTCCACTATATGTAAGACTTACAAATGCATACATCCGACTGTGTATCTGAGTTTGTTATCTAAGCAAAATGAGGAGGAAACAACACAATAGCTCCATAAAGAGATATGTACAGAAAGCACGTCAGAGAAAATATTCACTGCAGGCCATTTTAACCCTATAGGTGTTCTAACCAGACAGGAAATGTGTTACTTCCAGTGGTTCTCAACTGTTTGAATGAGGCGGTGATGAAGGCCATGTGCCGATCTGCAGGATTTGGGCTGAGGGACGTTAACCTCTATATTTGACCACAAGGAGGCAGAAGAATGTTCTCTGGACAGTCCCAAAACGCTCTCCTTCCAAGCACGTACACTGCTGAATACATGCCCAGATGTGGTTTAGTGTCCACCCAGAACAAACTGTTCTGGAGTACTTAAGTTCTGCTCTGAGCAAAGAAGTTTTATTTTCAGTATATTTCAGTTTATCTTTTCATTAACTGAAACATACTGTTGCATGCAAGCATGCAACATGTAGTTATCTATGTGTTATAAATACATAAATAGGGCCACTTTAACAGGTGTAATTACAAGTTTCACATAGTCTTCAACATCACACTCATATAAACATCACAAACCCTGTATGCAGAAGAGGATAACCACACTATGACGGTACAAATCTTATGACTGAAGTCATGCTCAGGATATTTAAAGTCACATTTACTATGCAACAGTATGGTTCCAGTATACACCACCGTCCTGTTAAACGTCCTATTCATCAAAAAATCCTGAAAAAAATCAGGTCATGGTTTCCAAAAATATATTAAGCAGCTGTTTTTAACACGGGTAATATTGAGAAATGTTTCTTGAGCAGCAAATCAGCATATTAGAATTATTTCTGAAGGATCACGTGACACTGAAGACTGAAAATTCAGCTTTGCCATCACAGGAATAAATTACATTTTAAATATATTGAGTTATTCTAAATATCTTCATAATATTTCACAATATTGCTGTTTTTCCTGTATTTTTGTTCAAATAAATGCAGCCTCGGTGAGCATAAGCGACGTGCTCATATGCCAGTGTTCATTGTAAATATGAGCTGTGAATAACACACAGAAGAATTTCCTGTAATACAGTCCTCTGGATAAAAAAAGCAAAACCGGTTGTGTTAAACCTGAGTCACAGATACAGTTTATACATGGGCGGCCACTTTTATGATGCAATCATCCACAGATATCATCTAACTAAAGCTGGAATGTAGATGTAAAAATACTGTACTTTACAGTCCAGCATCAATTAAGGGAAATCAAAATGTTTCTGATATACGGATGAATGGAAATGAAGGCGAATAACTTTTAACCTGAAAGATCCAAAAGGAGAATAAATCCAATAGAGTCATATGTTCATCATGTGACAGCTAACAAGAGCATGATTTATGTGTTGTCTACTAAACCAAGACCTCAGTAATGCTTTTGTTAACCACTGGTTACTAAAACATTATTGTATTATAACTTCCTCAAAAGAAGTGCAGCACTTTTTTTCCATTTTGACAGTGACTCAGTTAACAGTATCCTCAGACATCTATAGCTTATGCACCTATAGCGCCTCTTTCGCAAAAAATCTTCTGTGATGCAGATGTTACACATTTAGAATGTGGGTAAAAGGTCGTCCCGCTGGGAGTGACACCATATTAGAGTCAAAAAATGCAGCTGTTTCTTTGGTTCCGGCAGCGTGATTCGGGCGGATGACTAACTGCTGCCATCAGTGTTTCTGGGAAACTCGTAGACAGGGCAGATACTGAATATCCCTGTCATTCAAATGCTAATGATCCTCTTCAGGGCTACTGAGCATCTGAAAAGACTTCGGCTGTAGGAGAGATGCATATATGCCTCCCAGATGATGCTTACATTAAAATCCCATGCCTAATGTTCTGACCTGCCAGATCTGTGAGTCTTTTGTTCATCAGTAACTACTGTTTTAAGATATCATTCTCTGTCTTTTTGTTAAGCAGCTCTACAAGTACTAACCGAACATGCAGCCAAAATATCAGTGTCAAAACAATGACAGGTTTTGTGATTCAATTAAAGTGATCCACCAAAAGGCGTTCATGCCATTATGGGACCAGCTGAAACAACTGAGTAAGTGTTTGTTTTTTTGTTTGCTGCATGTCACTGGCATTAAGAAAGCAAACACACCCTGAGAGTTGTTTACAAGGACTGGAATGAGAAAATGCTTTGTCGATCCAGCATTAATCATGAAACACCCTTTAGGCTTGAAGTTCAAGTGAAGTGTTTTTCTAGCTGCATCGCATTACAGATTATACAAGCATTTAAGGGCGTTTAATTATTACGATGACGTTTTCTGCACAGTTTTGAGTAAAGCCAAAGTCATACATTATACTGTTTAAAAGTTTGGGGTCAGTAAAAGTTTTGAATATTTTTGAAAGAAGTCTCTTATGCACTTATGAAACATTTTTTATTATTACTAATGTTGTAAACAGTTGTGCTGCTTAATATTTTTGTAGAAACCTTTATACATTTTTTTAAGAATTCTTTGATCAATAAGAAAGTTCAAGAGAACAGCATTTATTTCAAATAGACTTTTTTGTAACAACTTCTTTACTGTCACTTTTGATCAATTTAATGCATCTTTGCTGATTAAAAGTATGAATTATTTTTTAAAACATCTTGTTGACCCCAAACATTTGAAGGATAGCTCCATTAAACATATAATTCCAGACGTGGCTATAATGTTAACAAACAATCAAGTCCTGGCTTCTGCTCCACTTCTGAATACCCTTTCAAATCCTGTTTTGACCATGTCTGCAAAGTACACTGTAAAAACAAGCAAACCTCTCTCTGAAAACCTGAAAAGCTCTCGAAAGCTGAAAGGTCAACTCTGTAACACTTGTACTTTGATATCACCCCCTGGAATAAACACCAAGTCCTTTGTATCACAAGACAAAACAGCTAAAAACACAGGAGTATTGCTTTTCTATGGGAGAGACAAACTCTCAGGCATCACCTAAAGAGGTATCTGAGCGTAGTCTTCAGAAACCTCCAGTGAATGCTGGCTTTCTGGGAGCGTGAACTTTCCCCTAATTCTCACACTGCTCTGTGCTCACAGAGGAACAGACCACAGCGCTCAGCTGCGGCACGTTCACCTCGTCTCTCTACACAAAGCCTCTGGCTTAATAATGACTTCATACTGGGAAAACCCCGGTGTCCATTCACACCAATTCCACTATATTCTCTCTCTAAGCTAGATAATTTATATATGTAGTTTTCTATGTAATGTATATTTTATAAATGTCCACTATTTGGACATTAAACAGGGCAGGATGCACCAAACTGAAATCATTCACATTTGATTTGTGAGATTTAATATGTCCTTTACAATTTAATAGTCTCAGTAGGACTGTTTGTGGGAATTAGTGTAATAAAAATGTTAATATAATTAGAATTAATCAATGAAACCACTGACTAAAAGTCAATATAAGTCCACATACAAACATAAATTGCTCAATATTCATTATTGTTGAAGACCTACACTCAATTTTCATTATATGTTGAAAAAAATTTTTCAATTAACAGGTTTTCTGGTTGCAACCGAGTCCATTCTTACATCATGGTCCACATTCGAAGCAAATATATGGTTAAGGGGGAGGAGGTTGAAACCTGAGCAGACTCACACACTCCCTCCAAATGGCCAACCAATCAGAACAGACTAGATGGCTCAGAAAGGGTATAAAAACAAGTTAGCCTTTCAACCGCATGAGCCTGTGCTCTTGAGAATACTGCGACAGCTAACCGGTCTCTACTACAAGTTAGAATAACCAGACAACCACAGACACCAACGAGCAAGATGAAGGTACCACTGGCAAATCTGCTATGCATCACAGTCTTGGCGAGCTCCGGGATGAGCTTCCCGCTGGAAAGGAGAGGAGCTGCTACTGGAAAAGAGAAGAGAGTTCAGTATGCAGCATGGGATGATGTTAATGTGCTAGCACATGGGTTGCTGCAGCTAGGTCAGGGTCTTAAAGAGCATGTGGACAAGACCAAAGGCCAGGTGAGAGACATCACCATCAAGATGAAGGTCTTCAACTTCACCATATCCGAGCTAGGCAAGCTGACACAACGGCTTCAAGAAGACAGTGAGGCATTGAAAGCAAAAGCCCAGAGTCTGGAAGAACGTGAGAACGTGGTCCTAAACATGTCCATGGATCTGCGGGAGGAGACGGAAGAGCTGCTTAAAGACAGGAAGAAGGACCATGAGAGGATGAATAAGCTGGAAGAAAAAGTAGATGGCTTGATGCAAGGAGAGGGTTTGGAAGCTGCCAACGGCAACTACAGCGATGCCCGAACCATTCAGGTAGTTGAAAAAAAAACTAATTTCAGGGCTAAAAGAATGTGAAGCATATTGTCTAGGATTTTAACCTTAGGCTAACAACATTGCCTGATATGCATTGTAATGTTTGGTTGTGCATTTGCATATATGTGTTAAAATCATTTTCTAAATACTTCAATTAACTAATCAAGAATTATTTGGATAGGTTTATGTGGTTTTAAAAAAAAACCTGCATTTCCAATAGAGCACAAGAGCCACTCATGGCATGAACTCAAGAGCCGTGTAGTAGCCTACGTGCAAGGTAGCAGCTGTTCATACAAAGAAAGTGACAAAGCCTACTGACCTCCAGGAAAGTTTGAAGTGTGTTGACCTTTGCCCCTTGATACATGTCTCAGCAAGAAACAAGCTTAACAGAACCTTAAGTGTTTCATACGCATGCAGATGTATATATATAGTTTTTCACTCACTTTGCGAGTTCATGTTACTGTAACATAACGATGTACAGAAAAAAAGCTGTGTACAAGACCGGTTATACTGGAAAATAGGAACTTAATTGTCAACAACTCCATGATTATCGTTGCGGTCTGCTGAGGTTTGGAAAAGGCCATGTTTTGAGTGTGAATAAAGACTGACCGCAAACTATTTCTGATTTCAGTGGATGCTGGAGGCGCAAAATAAGCGCATTGATGATTTAGTCGAGCGCATCAAGCAACAGCAAGAAAAACTGGATAAACAAAATGTTCGCATTCGGACCCTCCAAAACCAGGTAAGAATACTACAAAATAAAATATAATGTAACTATGAAGTAGTGTGGTGTCAATATATTAAGTCTATGACTGCAAACTTACCCATAATATTCATGTAGATTCATATGAACAGCGAGCGGTCTTCTCTCAAACGGGAGGATGATGTTCATCTGAATATATATATATATATATATAATTAAAAGCTGTTTTTTTATATATAATAATATGTTGAAAATGTTTCATAAAAAAAATACACAAAAGTTACTAAGACACAAAATCTATATGCTGGCGAAAAGAAGTCTAATTGTTCCATTCACATAATGAATCTGCCTTATTGCACAGTCTCTGATAATTCAAATACACACAATAATATAATTGCATCTAAAAAACATACAAGAGGAGGTTTTGCTCTTTATCAAAAACATGCTGAGACTTGTGCCACTTGTTTTGCTCCTTTAGTTTTGTTACATGCTGCATAATGTTAGGGAAACGATTTTGAAAACATATGGGAAATGTCTTATGGAAATAAGACTCAACATTTCAAACATTTAACATTGAGATTTTTAGAAGTATTTTAACACTCTGTGTGAGGGTTGAAAATGGAAACTCCATTTCAAAGCAATGACTACCTCTAAGTAGGTGAAAGGTGAACCTATCAGAAACACATGGGCCAGAACAGTCATCCAAACGAACACAATAAAGCCTCTCATGGCGAGTTCTGACATCAGTGGGATCCAAAGAATGCTTTAAAAAACAAGTTTCCCTGGATGCCTTCCAATTGTGTGAGAGTTCATCAGTCTTGGACTGTGTTAACTCAGGGTCACGACTCACAAGCATGCAGAGATTTGTTTCAAATCTGGCCAAGAGCAAAGGGAGGGCTTTTTTTTCAGATATAGTATATCCTGTACTTTAGATTAGATTTCCTGGCTCTAATCCACTGAACACCATGTACAGAGTGCATATTTTTGGACCATGAACTTTATACAGATTTTCCCTGTCATGTGGAGATCACTCCAAAAAACACGTAATTTCTCTCAGAAAACGTGTAACCTTTACCCTAGATCTGTCAGAGCCAGACTATCCCCCTTAGACCCGCCCCCCCTCTACTCATTCACACAGACCACCCCTTTTATTGCAGTCACTGAGAAGTGTGCCAGACTAAAGAAGGCCACTTCACTTAAAACCATATGCTTTGATCCTTTTAAATCTGCTGCATTCATTTTTTTTTTAAGTTTACACACACACAGATAGATAGATGTGTAACAAATTTTAATTTTAATTTAAAAAAAAAAAATTACGGTTAATGTAGGGCATCCAATTTTTAAACGGACAGAGAGTGCCAAAAAAATTATTATTATTTTTGTTCATCTTTTTTATTTTTGTTCATTATTCATCTGACTCGCATCTCACATAGTCCCTTGAGGGCCTGTGCAGTTGCTCCTCAAATAGCAGCAGCAGCCTCGGCATTCCCGGATCACTCACTGCCCATGCATTGTGATGTCAGCAGAGGGGTGCTGTGCACGTGAAGCAGGCGTGGAGGGCTGGACTAAAGGGGGCAGGGGGAAGGAATGCTTGTAGCTCTACTGAGGGAAGTCTCTGCTTGGGAACTGGGGGAAAGGTCATGTTTACACCCTCAATTGTTTCAGCCAGGTCAGAATTCACATGTGAAACTGCCTTTGTTAGGCAGATGTTTGCCACACTTGCCTGAGAAATATATGTCAGTGTGTATAGCAACACGTCAGATGACTTGGACTATTGCCCTGGAGTTCAAAACAAATTCCATGTTGGCTTTTGGATTCTTGGGTGGAACGTTCAAGGTTCTGTGTTTGAGATAAAGATTAGTTCACCATTAAGCAATGTGATAAACTTTTACCCTAGACGTGTGAGCAATTTCCATTTAGTGCCTTTTTTTAAATCCCTGTTTGGATACAGGCTTGGGTAAAGGTCATTTGCAGACATGTGAATATTTTTGTGGTGTTTTGGTGTCTTTCAGCTATGGCTTCTGACTGTCATGAGTTGTTCCTAAGGGGTGAGACCACAAGCGGGCTGTTCACCATCCAGCCAACTGACTCTGAGCCTTTTGAGGTCTTCTGCGAAATGACACCCGGTGAGTGGCGCGAACCAATTTTCTGCCACTTTTATTTGTCCATTTATCTCACATCCCTCTTAAATGAGCATCTATTGCTTCTTTGTTCATAAACCACATTGGATATCGCCTCCCCATCCCCAAAGCATCACTCAGAACAGCTTGTAATCCTCTTGTTTTGTGCGTGTATCCACAGAAGGAGGATGGATAGTCATCCAGAGACGCCAAGATGGATCTGTAGACTTCGATCAACTTTGGCAGGCATACCAGACTGGCTTTGGGAACCTTAATGGTAAGAATCCAATGTGAACTGACTTAATTTTGCATGTGACCAACAGGCTCTGAGCAAATAGCCACATCTGTCAGTACACTTTGATTAAGGCGTAGAGATTTACTCACTAATAAGGGTTATAGAGTGGCAGACTAAGGATAGAGGATCAGATCAATTCTGGCTGGAGAGAAAACATTGTCAAATCCTGTATCCCTAATGCCCTTAAATGATTTAATTGCAGAGTGACTAAATCTCCTGACCTATTCCTAGACCAGAGTACACAGAGTTCTTAAATATCCCTCTTAAATGTCGCTTTCAGGCGAGTTCTGGCTTGGCCTGGAAAAGATCCATTCTGTGTCCAAGGGCGGCAACTACATCCTCAAGGTGCAGTTCTCTGACTGGCGGGATGAAGTTCAGACCATCAACTACCCTTTCCGTCTGAACGGCAAGGAGAGCAACTATTCCTTGCGCATTCTGGGGAGTCCTGCCGGGAACCTGGAGAGCTCTCTGTCCACCGAAATATCTGGAGTGCCCTTCTCCACCCGCGACAAAGACAACGACCAGAAAAATGACCTCAACTGTGCCAAACAGCTATCAGGTAGCATCATGATGCCATGGGCCATAAAAGGGTTTTTTCTTTGTGGCTGATGTTGTGGTTCTAAGTGGTTTCTATTTTTGGCTTTCCAGGTGGTTGGTGGTTTAGCAATTGCGGTCGCTCAAACCTGAATGGCAGATATTTTGTTACTCCTGCACCAAAGCAAAGGCACCAGAGAAAGCAAGGGGTGTTCTGGAAGACCTGGCGCGGTCGCTACTACCCGCTGAAAACCACCACCATGATGATTGCGCCCGCCGAGATCAAGAACAAGTCATAGAGGACCTCTGCTGAGATCCTAACCAATGATATGGGTGGAGAAACCACCATTTGTAACCTGCCAAAATAACGTGTTGGTGCTGTAAAGGTCTAAAGCTCTATTAGGAGTGTCTTTGTTAGAACAGACGAAGTCTGAATCATGAATGTGGTGGACACTCAAATCCCTGTCTGCACAAAAATAGGCTCTTTTAATTAGAACTAAATGTGCCTGGAGCTCTGCAAGCAGCAGCATGTTTTATATGGTGCAGGCCACTGTAAGGATCTGTTACATGTTTAGACAAATCTGGCAGGGTGACGTCAAAAGACCTTATGGTTAAGCACCATTGCAAGCACTTTCCAAAGCTCAAAAGCTTGGGGAAGAAATTAACCTTGCCACTAAAATACGGACCAAATAAGCTGTATAAGCTTGAGCCAGTACTTTTGAGAATGCTTATTGTAAAGGCACTGTTTATCTTAAGGCATTATCCACAGACATGCGTTAATAGATCTGCAGAACACTAAAAGTTAATTGCCTGTCAATTCATTTCAAGTATCTAAATGTGGAAGTTATTTTCTGGTACGCACATGCTGTTTTTCAAAAGCTTAAATGATCTGAGACTACTTGTGTATTTTCCTGTTTTGAAATCAAATGAGGAGTTCCTGTGGAGATTCATTTTCTCAGTCACATTGACTGCCTTTATATGTCTATAGCTGTCACTTCCATGTAAATAACAGAAATATACATTTTCTTCGTAGCGTTACCGCTGTATTCTTGCCAACTTTAAAAGGTCATGTTCTGATTTCCATATTATTTAAATGTTGTACAAATAATCATTATGTATTTCTTTATCTTTTTGCTTATAATTTATGTTTTCCAAAAAGTAAAGCATTTTGCTATTGTTTTTATAAATATGTTTGGTCTTGAAGAGACCAATAAAGACTGATTTTATTTAAAAAACTGTCAGTGTCAGTGAAGTTCTTGCATTAAACAACAAACGTAATGCAAAGTGAATGAGCTTGTTTAGATCAGTATGAAGTGTCAAGCAGACATATGCAGCTCCTTTCAGACCTGAGGGTTAAGTGCATCTACATGCTCATGAGACGGCAGGTGATGCTGGAATGTCCTGACGGTGCTCAAGCTTGCTCAGTGCCCTAGAGACAAGAAACATAATAACTAATATAATTGAGCAGATGGCTGCAATTATACTTACAAGTCATGCATACAGTTGAACTGCTGTTACTTCAATTATTAAGAGTCAAAAACAATTGGAAAAAAGTTGTTTTAGTCTGAATTAAAGTAAAAATGACTATGTCCTTGAATGTTCCCACAGGAGTGGTGCCATATGGTCTTAATCACACGTGAACCTTACTTAGTGGAAATCAGCTTATTCTTCTGACTTGACTTTAAGTAACTAAAGTTGCATTGGCTTCCGAGTGTCACACTCAATGTTTCACACCTGAGAGCAATTCTTAACGTGCCAAATCGTCACTAATGTGCTTTCAGTTACTTACTTCCAGATGAGTTTAGCGTACAGTATTTAACAGTCAAATGCTTTTACGGTTTAAGAGAACAATTGTCTAATCAGAGTTATCTTTTCATCTGTGATAAGATATTGTGTAGACAAACAGAAACAAACTGAAATGTGTTCAGGGTCTACAAGCGAAATCCTGCTTAATAATAATGACAGATGCTTTTGACATTCACAGGCTTAAAGGCAACAAGATCATGTACTTTTTATTGACAAAGGCCACATGTCTAGTGGAACTGACATTGTGAAACAAGGTCACTGCGTATAGTTCCTTCATGTATAGTATGTAGGTTATTAAGTGCATTATAGCCAACTGAAAACTAGGCCACTGCACAAACATAAAGACATGTTTCATTGTATAACAGCCATTATGGTTCTTAAAGCTTCATTCAACAGTCATCCTGCCTATTAATATCTTTAATGTATTGTTACTGTATTAAGAACCACTGGAGCAGAACATTACCAAGAAAACTGACAAATATTATTCAGTTATATGACACCTTTGATTATCATTAATCCTGATGACCACTCAGTACCCACCCTTTGCTGTTTTGTATTTGTATTTTATTTTAAATCTGTTTTGCATTTCACTAAAAACCATTGCACAATTTGCTACCAACATCTGATTAACCAGCATTTTAGATGAAAATATAATATACAAAAAAAAAACATGTTTAAATAGTTAACAAATTTTAAATATTTAAAACAAAAAAAATATTTAATAGTTAAAGCAAAAATGACATGGGGCTTTCTTTCTTGTGTGGAACACAAAACATATTTTGAGAAATGGCTGAGGGTTTTTAACCATACAATGGATGTCAATGGTAACCAAAACTGTTTGGTTCTTATTCTTCAAAATACTTCTTTTGCGTTCCACAGAAGTGTAAGAAAGTGTACAGATTACATGTGTAGTATAATGTTTGCATAATATTGTATGTATGGCAGATTGAGCTTTAGTCTACCTGCTTCAACAGGAGTCATGAAGATAAATCAATCTGGAGCTTGAGGAGGTGAGCGGCTTGTCAACATGGAATGTAGCATTTCATTAGCAGGAAGACATTAATTTTGACAAGCTCACAGCAGGCCTGTTTGAGAAGAGGCACAAGTAAGGCATTAAAAGCACAAATCTGCACATGTGAAGACAAAGTGAAGTTGTAAAAACATATTGCAACCTCAGGCAGCAAAAACTGGAGCGAACTGGAGAAGCTAGAGAGATCTTGTTAAGCAGCGCCATCTGGTGCAAGCGAACTAACCAACGTCACAATATTGACAGAGTAGTTTGCGGTAAAAATATATTGAATTTATTAATAAAAACTGTAATATTTAGTTTTATAATATTTAGAATCTTTCAACCATATTACAAGCCCTCTATTACAAGGTAACCCTTATTTAGTGAGTTTAATTTAGGCTAATTCTGCATCCTGTTTTTGCACACCTTTCACAGACCATTTCTTAAACAAAAAAGTTAAAAAAAAAAAGTTAAATATTAAATAATTATTCAAATATATAATTTTTTTATATATAAAATAAAATAATTATCAGGCGCTTTATAATAGCATATTCTTGATATTGTGTAGCTCATGCTGTCATTCTCACTCATTACCAGATGATGGCAGTATTACGTATTTTACGTACACTTTTAGACAGTTTTTGAGACGAGCCCTCTTTTTCTCAAATCCAAAGATTACGCTATACCATTAAAGATATTAGCAATCCCTTCTCCAGTATCTGAGTATGTAATAATACATAAATGCTTAGCTGACTCAGCACTGCTTGATTATTTGACTGACTGGATCATTAATTATGGATCCAGGATTGTGAAATAAGCATTTGGTTTAAAAGACTGCAAATGTTCCTCTTTCACAGGACTGAAAATGACATACTTGCGTTGTTTCATTTTCAAGTTTTCGGAGAGAATGAATCATGATAACAGTAACTGTTGTTCATCATATTTTATTATGAACCCAGTCTTTAATACATCCATCTAACCATCTTATTCCATAAATAAAAAACAAGTGTAAAGCATACACAGATATATCCATTTATGTGATTTATCTGAGCAGACCTAAAACTTCCAATGTCTAGTACAAAGTGTCATTTGGAATTAGAACAAATACCGTGGAAAAAAAAATAGTGAATCCAGTTCCTAATTTGGAATGTTCAAGGCTCACAATGTTATACTTCCATTTCCTTTCGCAATACTATAATCCAAAGAAAACAAGACAAGCTCCGGTTGTTCTGGCTAAGCGAACTGTAAAATATTTGATGAGAATATGAAACACTAATACAAAGATGAACTCTTTAAAACATTTCCAATGTTTCCAACATTTTCATCTAATATTTATTTATTTCAGCTTTATTTCAGTTAATGAAAACACTTTTTAATCGTTTTAATTAACAAATGAGATGGGCAGAAAATGAGCGATAAGAATTGTGTTTTTGTCATTATTATTTTTTTAATATTCCATTTAGCTTTAAATTTACATTTCAGAATTTAGTAATTTTAGTACTTCAACTTAAATATATTGTATTTTAGTTTAGTTCAGCAACAGTTCCAAAACTTTGGAATATTAAAAAGTTTAACTTTTTAATCCATTTAAATTTCATTTCAGTCTTTTTACTTAAAAGTAAAACAGTTTTTTTAATATTTCCATTTAGCTGTAGTTTACTTCTAGTTGTAGTAATTTTGGTTCTTCAAACATTTTACACCAGTTAGTGGCCTAATTTCAGTCCAATTTAATTTCTTTTAATGCTTTTTTAAATGAAAAAAGAAAAATGATCTTTTAATATTTCCATTTAGCTGTAATTTATTTTTAGCTTTACGATTTTTGGTACTTCAAACATATTTTACATCAGTTGTTGCGTGTACGACAATAAAGTGTATTATAAAACATAAAAACACATTCATCTCCTCTAATCAAGTGAGGAAGTATAATATTCAGAATGTCAAAAGCAGAAATGACTCAAAAAAAAAGCTGCTGAAATGATAGATGAACCCTTCCTTTTTGTGCATGTCAAGAATGTGCTCTCACTTTCCAGCCTAAAAACACTAACAAAATATTACTGGGGGAAAAAAAGCTCTTAAATTAACACAATGGACCATGTAACTGCAGTACAGGTTCGTCTTATATAAACCCTCACTATTTTAACTTTGCATCTTTCAACTGTAACAGCAAAAATTCACCTTCATATACTCAAAAGTGATTTTAAACCCCTGAGCATGTTCAAATAATGAATCAGGCTCACGTAACGCTCTTTCTCGTACATACTTAACATCAAATTTCTTCACAACAGCTTGATTAAAACAGAAAACAAAATACAAATCATTATTTGGGATTATGTGAATAGCTTTATAATAACCCCCGTCATACTTGTGTTTAACATCAAAGTAGAGATCAGCATTTTCACCGAAAATTAATAAAATAAAAACTTCATTAAACTAAACAATTAAGGAAATACTAAATATTATTATAGTGGCTGTGCAATTAAATGACTGTCACTTGAACCATATAAAATACAAGAAGTATCAATACACATAACACTTAACTGATATGTTGTGTAGGGCTCACGCTTCAAATTAATAAAACAATGTTTATTTAAAAAAAAAAAACATGTTTATATTTAAAACATAAGTGATATGTTTCATATTGGTCACTTCCACCACTATCCGACAGATGGCACGCTCACTGTGGTGTAATGGAATGCTTTGGGTCTTTTGTTTGCAAGGAAGTATCAACTTCCCTTTAGCTTCTTATTGAGACTCAATGCCTGCGATTGGTTGTTTCAGTAATCTTGACCGTCATCCTGATAACCCTGGTAGCCCTCGTCTTGGTAATCCATGTAGCCAGTGTCAGCTTCTCCGCTTGCGCTGGGTGCACCTTTGGGGCAGTACTTGGCATCGTAGATCTGACGGCCAAGCCCGAAATTCTGCCCGCTTTGGTTGGCGCCTTGAGCGTAGCCCATTTGTAGAGACATTGTGGAGTTGTCACACTTGTCGGTGCCTAATTTCTGGTCGTAGATGGCACGACGTGTTCCTGGAGCTGTCATACCAGACTATACCAAACAGATGAGAGTTATTTAATATTATTCATATACTATTATTACATGTGCTATTATTATTCAAACATTTTACACCAGTTAGTGGCCTAATTTCAGTCCAATTTAATTTCTTTTAATGCTTTTTTAAATGAAAAAAGAAAAATGATCTTTTAATATTTCCATTTAGCTGTAATTTATTTTTAGCTTTACGATTTTTGGTACTTCAAACATATTTTACATCAGTTGGTGGCCTAATTTCAATCTCATAGTCCAATTTCAATAAAAAAAATAAATAAAAATAAAATGCTTTTTAAAAGTAAAAAGAAAACAAATGATATTTTCATCTAATATTTATATTTTATTTCAGCATAATTTCATGCTTTTTGATGGTTTCAATTTCAGTTTACAATGACACCACTGATCAGAATGAGTAAGCAATATCATGGGACACAGGGAGGGTAGTACTTACTTGGCTAGCACCCTTGTTTGTGCCCATCTGCAGACTGATGGTTGAATGGTCCATTGGTGGTAGAATGTGTGACTTGGGATCATACAGGTGTCTTCTGGTACCATAGGCATTCATTCCAGCTTGACTTGCACATTTATTTGTTCCCATCTATTAAAAGATGTGCAAGTGAGCTACAAACATTGTCATGGTACTTTCCAGGTTGAGCCGAATCAGTTCTGTATTACAAATGGTAAATAATTGTGACTCATATTCAGATGGTTTAAAATAACAGAAACTCATACCTGTAATCCAATGACACATTGTCCGGCTTTCATTTTCTCCTCATCAAATGCCCTCTCCTGTCTCTCTGCATACTTCACTCCAATGTCTACACTTGAGTGGATGCCCTTGGTTTTAGCCTGTAAACACAGGGAGAATCTCTAATTACAGACTGAAATATCAGAGTTAGGCTGTTCTCCTGGGAAATTATATGATTCAACAGGGCTTACCATGCCAGCAAGAGCCAGGAGGGTGGTCTGAACCTGTGTCATGTTTCCGTTCTCAAACAGATCATTGGCTTCAAAAATATCGTGAGGCTTGAGCCCATAGGTGGTGATCGCTTTAATGAAGTTGGTCAGGTTCTCCAGCTGCAACAGAATAAAATAGCTGAATGCGAACAGACAAAAAATAACCTTCTACAACAAGAGACAATCTTATCAGCAGTTTAAGTAAACACAACAAACAACTATGTAAAAAAAAAAAAAAAAAGTTCAATGTCAGAACATCAATAGTTCAATGTCTCTAGCTTTACTAAAGCGTTCAGGAATAAACATTTTAGAGAAGTGGAAATGGTCAGCTCACCTGATGCCAGTTTTGCGATGACTGGTTGATCTTTTTCACAGACCCTGGCTGAAGTTTGTTTATCAGCCTTTAAGGAAACATCAAGACCTCAAGGTTATGTTGTGAAATTACCTTTGAAAAGACATGACGGGAGGCCACATTGAAAACACTGAAACACAAACTTACTCGCAGAGTATGACACCGTTTTTTAACCCTTTCTGAAAGTCATCTCCAATTGAGCGCCCAGTAATGCCCTCGATCCAAATTCGTAACTCTTCCTCTTTCTGGGGGTCATATTTCTGTGCAATCTAGTGGGGGGAAAAATATGACATTGATTAATAAATCACACTACAATCAGATTATAACACAGCTCTATGCTCATTATTTCAATAAGAACACAAGATCTACATTATAATTTCTTCAATGCCCCACGATATATAAAGAAGCAACATGTAGGTGAGTGATATAATTACATTGATGACTTTATATATAGTCAAACATCAAAATAAGGAAATCAAAAGGCCTATCTAGCTAACGTCAGGACTGCTAACTGATACTAGAGTGCTAAAATCACATCAACCACAATCAGGGAGAGGAATGTGAACCAGCAGCAGCTTTATTGTGAGCACAAGCTGCGTGTTTTTCAGGCCAGATTACAATAACAAGATATTTGAGCACTGGAGGCAACGCCCCAAGAGTTCTTAGAACTTTTTGCTGTTTCCGCGACTTCTTTTGCGTTTTACTTGCTTTAACTTGACAGCCAGTTGCCATCAATTAATATAATGAAATATGCATTATATGAAGCACGATTGATATTTAACCTTGTATCGCAACACGTGTGTTACCTGTTAACACTACAGGAAGTTTAGGAAACATTTGTTGATAAACTTTAGATTCATCAGAATGAGACGGGGCGATTTCTATTGCAGAAGAGCTACAATACGGCAAACAAAACATGTCTATGTTTTAACGAATGCTTTAAACTAGTTTATTAATTATTCCACGTACCTTGCTTTTCACTTCCGCTGAAAACCCGTATGCTGGACCTCTGTTGAACTGCGAAGACATTGTGTCAGCTACAAGAGCAGCCAAAGTTGCAAAACAGATCGTCAGGAACCGAAAGAAAGACTTCGGATAAAGTTTGATAGTTTTGTCTTACTATTTTAGCATAAGTAGATCCAGAACTTCCCTTCGGTTACCTCGCCACCAATGAGAACGCGCGCTCAATACAGACCCCGCCTCCTTTTTTCCTTCTTGGTCCTGATTGATATCAAAAACTCCATATATGGCACTAAAGTACCAAATTCCTTTACAATGGGAGTACCCCTGTGTCCATCCTGGTATTCCAGACTTGCTGTAGCTGAGGAATGAGTGACCTCTGGGAATAAGGCAGGCTACTGAATGATGTCACTTGCATTCATAAAATATTTCTCTGAAATGCTGAGGAAGCAATGCAATACAGGACTTGGCCATCCAAGATGTAGATTAATTTGTTTCTTCATCAAAACAGAAATTTAGCATTACATCACTTGCTCACCAATGAATCCTCTGCAGTGAATGGGTGGCGTGAGAGTGCAAACAGCTGGAAAAAAAACATCACAATAATCCACAACTCAAGTCAATCCATCTGTAAATGTTCTGTGAAGTGAAAACTGTTTGTAAAAATACAAATCCACCATTAAAGCATTTTAACTTTAAACCATCACTTCTGGCCAAAACACCAGTCCATTAACCTTAATAAGGCTTCCCCAAGTGAAAAAGTCCATCCCCTGTGGCAATCGCACATCAAAATCTAACCGACATATTTGTTTAGAACTGTACTGGACTGTTTTTGCTTGTAAATGGTGCTTGATCTGTGCAAATTCCTCTCCCGATTCAGACAATTTATTAGGATTGGAGGACTGGAAGCGACTAGTTAAACACGTCTTGATGGAGTTGTCTATTAGCTTTTCACTTCACAAGACAGTAATTGAACTGATTACTTGTGGATTATTGTGATGCTTCATTGCTGAGCATGAGCATCGGTGAGCAAGTGATGTAATGCTACAAGTTACAACCCCAATTCCAGAGAAGTTGGGACGTTTTGTAAAAATGCAATAAAATCAAGAATCTGTGATTTGTTCATTCTCTTTACTTTTATTTAATTGACAAAGAAAGTACAAAGAAAACATTTTCAAAGTTTTCACTGACCAACATAAATGTATTTTGTAAATATGAACAAATTGATTTTGATGGCTGTAACACATTCCAAAAAAGTTGGGACAGAGGCAAAATAAAAGTGAAAAGGTTATAGAATATCCACTTTAAACTGTTTTGAAACAGTTCACAGAGTTCCCAGTAAGCAGGTGAATTGATCATGGGTCAAGGTATCATGTTTGGGTATAAGAGGAGCATCTCAGTCTTTGCAAGCAAAGCTGGATCATGGCTCATCACTTTGTGCCAAATTTCATGAGAGAAGTGCATGGCAAACAAATCAAAAATCACATTTCGCAATGCAAAATCGCAAAGAATTTAGGTCTTTCACCAACTTCCACACGTAATATTGTGAAAAGATTCAGGGAATCCAGAGAAATCACAGCACATGTACGCAGGCCCGGCGCCAAGACCCACGCTCCCTTTAAATTTATTAAAAACTGTCACTCATTCATCACAATCTCACAAAGTCCCGTTTTAACCAATGAATGTGACCACACAATGAAACTTTTTTTTAATGAAGTTACGAGCATGATAGAACTCAGCACCGGACAAAAAGAGGTGAGTGCGTGGATTCCAACCTAAACACATCTGACCGCCCAATGCGTTGTAGAAATAAATGTCTGTGATTGGCTACTTTGCTCCCCTCTGCGAAAATGCATTGTAAAATAATTTGACGCTTTCCAAAACAGAAGGGCAGATACACTGGATTGTTTGCCAAATCTATTTCGTTATGCAATTATTACGAAGAAAACAGATCCTAGACCAGGAGGTTTTCCATCTAAAAGCAATCAGTTAGACTATTTTACACTATGAGTTAGACTATTATACACGCGAAACTAAAGGAGGGGGGGCACAAGGAAGTCCGTGGGGGGGCAAAGCCTCTGGCGCCGGGCCTGCATGTAGGGCAAGGCAGGAAACGACAGTTGAATGTCCTTGACCTTTGAGCCCTCAGATGGCATTGCATAAGAAACCGTCATGCTGCGGTGTTAAATATAGCCACATGGGCTCAGGAGTACTTCAGAAAACTGCTGTCACTTAACAGTCTGCTGCTGCATCAAGAAATGCAACTTGAAACTCTGTTACTCTAGGTCTAGGAGAAAGCTATACAACCTCTCGTTGATAGCAGAGGAGCGGATCCAGCGAGAGCTTGATAGGGCGACGCGGAATGAAAAAGTTTTTCAGGAGGTCGTGGTAGTAGAGGCGGCGCAACTATAACGACATGGGCGCTGAGAACGGCAGCGCCTGAACTCTCCAAGTAGGTATAACTGCAGACCGGAGATCTCCAAAATGGGGCGTGAACTCCAAAAGTGGGCAGAACCTCCAAAATGGGGCAGGGTCTCCTCACGCAAAGACTTTCACCATTGGCTCTGGCTCCAGCCAATTGTTATTGACTTACATTTCAAAATAAAATTTTATAAATTAAACATTGTTTCTAGGTCATCTAAAATAAAATATGCTATATAAGTAAATATTCTCCGTGAGAGCAGAGCCCAAAGCTCGTGGCCAGTGGTGTTCGGACTGGAGTTTGAACCTCTGCTTAATGATATAAACGGGAATCACCCACGAGCTCTCCCGCGAGCCGTCTCAGCGCAGCGCAGTGCAGGGGAAAGATTTTACTCTATC